CTTTACTTTCACTCTATCTTTCTTATAATCCCAATTCTGAGTCTTCAGGTTAATATCTGGCTTGAATTTGTGTATATATATATATATATATATATATATATATATATATATATATATATATATATATATATATATATATATATATATATATAAAAAGAAGAGAGGAACCACAAACGTTTTTAGTTGTAATGGGGATTTTTTTTTTAAATATTATGCTTTATTTTCAAGAAAGACATTCGTATTACTATTACAAAAACAGAGAATGCCTCATATCGAGAATATTTAACATCGAAAATCATAAAGGAAAAATATTAATTATTTTTAATAATATGTGGAAATCTCTGCCTTTTACCTGAAGACGATCGCGAGACCAGAAACACGTGTAGTAAAAAAAAGCATGATATATTTAAAAAAAAATCCACAGTACAACCAAAAACGTTTGCGGTATCTCTCTTCTTTTTAATATACACACTTTTCTCTCGTTGAAACCACTATAACCTCTTTCTTTCATATATATATATATATATATATATATATATATATATATATATAGAGAGAGAGAGAGAGAGAGAGATATTATTAGCCATTATGACGGATAAGTGCACTACTACTTTGTCATGGAAAGATACACATGACAAAGTGTTCGCTCATGTGCAAAATAATCCTTTCTTTTTTCATCCATCTGTTATATAGGGGCATTTTGGTGAGATATCCAACGATGTGATAACGCCCAGAGCGAATTGTAGTCATGCCTTTCTCAAGATCAATAGTGTGAAGCAGACTTAAGTAGCCTCTGTCGAGCTTTTAAGCGCATGCGTCTGTGAACATTGATGTTAAGTATATAAAGGATAAGCTTTAAACAAACCAATCATAATTCAGACCTGCGTGGTTCACATGACAAGGAATATCATACAAAATAAATTAATCCGGAGATAAAATGGCTTCTTTTCATACATTTAGAAAATATTTAAAGATAAAGATAAATATCGATAAATAAGATAAAATGAATAAAAATTTTAACGTAGAAAGAAGACTACATAGCTATTAAATGGTACTATTAAAGTAATTAAAGTGGAACGTCAAAATAGGGCTAAGCTAATGAAACCTACAACAAAAATCATTAACAATGAAAGTAAAAATAATGTCAGATAAAGAAAGTGAAAGTTTCAAGTGTTTTCATAAACGAAAGTTAAAGTGTGGTAGTACATGAACTTTAAAGTAGAATAACACAAAAGTGAAATCAAGAAGCACGTAACTGAAATAAAATAAAAGTGTGATGATAATAAAAGTAAAGGCAGGAAACAGTGAAAGTGAAAATAGAAACTGTGGCGGGAAATACAAGGTTATTTGGGAAGTGTTCGCAGAAAACGAAACTGAATCTACTAAGTGTAGCAAATGAAAATTAAATGAAATGAAAGTGAAAGTGAAAGTAGAAAGTGCTGTGGAAGAATTAAGGCAAAAATAGTTTTCTGATGAAAAAAAGGGTAATTATGGAATGTCATAGTAAATGAAATTGAAAGAAGTAACTGAAAGAGAACACATGTAGTAGAGTGGTAATTAAAAGGAGAAAGAAGAGTGGCGATATCAGAGTAAAAATAAGAAATGGCAAGTCAAATGAAAGTGAAATGAGGTACTGCAATGATAAATGAAAATGGAAGTAGGGAGTGTAGCACTAAATGAAATTGAATGTACGAATACAAAGTGAAAGTGAAAGTAGGAAGAATACCGTGTACTGTATATGAGCGTTGGAAGTAACTGAAAATGAAAGTAGGAAACGTGGGTTGAAATGAAAATGAAAGCATGAAATTGGCAATACGGCGTGGGAATGTAAAAGGAAGCGAAATAGGAATTGCTGCAGTAAATGAAATTGCTACTATAAAGTGGGAATATATATGAACTTAGAATTTGGAAAATCTTGGACACGCCTGCATTGGAATAACGATACAGCATCCTGCAAAACTCTTGTTTAAAGAAATTATCCAGCAGAGATAATTGTCACTAGACACTTAATTGGAGGAAGAAGAAATCTAAAAGAAAATACGGTTACATTTTATTTAATCCTGAAGCAGAGTAACAAGAGATATTCTGGCTAATTCTGCTCGATAATTGACTTACGATTTTGCGACTATTTTCACTGCTGACGGCATATTCCACCTACTTTACATTCGCACAGTCAGAAGCATTAAAAGCTTTAGAACTAGAGCAGCACTGCCTTTTATCTATATCGTGGACTCTTTCGTCGATTTCGACATGTGAAGACCCAACAATTCAGTTTAGAACTGAACCACCAGATTTCTCACACAGATAATTTGATTATCGTGAAGGCTTGTGTAGAATCAGTCACAATTTGTGGAAGAATTGTTGACAGAGTAATGATAAATGGTGGGCCAAAAAATATCCAAACACTCTCCCTTAGCTTTGAATTCAGAGTTTTCTTCCAGACTGGCTGTCACCACAAGAGAGCCAGTCCACCTGACACATAGATGTTCTTTTCCAAGGG